AGGAATTATCCAACACGGTATACGCAATGTTTTCTGTTGTTAATTTATACTTTACAATAGGTTATCATATGATGGATATCGTCTCCGACATGTAAGTGATAGGTTATATCATGGTACATGACGTTCTTTTGCTGATGGAGCTTTTCACCTCATTTCATTCATAAGGCCTGTGGGCTTGGATAATATAGGAAACACATGTTATCTAAATTCGTTGCTACAGGTTGGTGGAAATTTATGCAGCATATTATCGTCTGCTGTAACAATTCAGCGTTATATCCTTTGTTAAACAGTCATAAAAGATGTGAAGGATATATTAAGATTTACGAACACCATTGTTATTAATATAACTTATCACAATTATTCTTTCTTGTACACATTATCCCCTGCCTTGCTTTTACAGTATTATTTTACTATTCATGATCTACGGAAAGCTGTAATAGCGTTTGATATGGACAGTGAGATTAATGAAACGGACTGGAAGGACAAAATAATTGGCGGACGCAAAGTTTTCAAGAGCGAGGTTGAACGTGCTAGACGCTGTAAGTGCTTCTTGACTTGGAACTTTTATTCATTAATTCGATATTTTATTGTCTGGTCCGATACATATATTTATAATTATGATGACAAATTTGTTATCCAGTCGTCAGCCTTCTGCGCGATCTATTTGGCAATCTCATGCATACAACACAAAAGTCAATAGCTCCCGACGTTCAATTAGCTGCTTTGGCACTGGAAAATGCAAAAGCCGAAGAAGAGGAAACAGTGCGGTCAATGATGAATGAAGTTATTACATTCACAGATGACAATGCACATACTGGAGCAGTTAACACCGGCGAGAACGACCCGTCTAACGATGTGTCTAATGGCACGTCTAATGACAATTTTTTAAATTCATCGGAAACCAAAATGGAATTCTCAGAATCTTCCACGTCAGAGATGATGGACACTGATATAAACGCTGGCTTGCCTGCGTTTGGCGAATCAAGGCCCAGTTACGAGCGATATAGTGCTGCGCACATGATGAAGAAAACTGCTGCGTTAAGAACCAGTTACGGGACAGACTATACCGCATCAAACACTTTTACGAGTCGTAATGACTACAATGGAAAAGGGAAGAATAAAGAAAGCCACGATGGTCCAGATTTGGAGGGCACATTTATGACATCTGCTGAACCGATTAGAGAAGAGAAGCCACGGACAGCGTCATCCATGTTATTTGGTAGACAACAGGACGTTGCTGGTAACTAATATATATTGGATGTAGATGTAAATATATGTTTAACATATTCATTAGAAATGATTTAGCTATTGACTGTTATTTGTTTAGAATGTATGGACAACGTTATGTTCCAACTGGAAGCTGCAATTACACCAACAATATTGCCATCGGGGGAATATATAAATGTTGTTAAGAAGTAAGTGAACGTTGAATCGAGTATGAATATCGTTTCTATTTGACTTATGCGATATCTGTTGCAATACTGAATTTGACTGTGGATGGGGATATGACCATGACCAATGTCAGTTTATTCTATGGTAAAACCCAACAGATCTTGCGTTACAAGGACAAAACAACGGGTAATATGGTGCAAGCAATGAAAGAAGAGCCGTTTAATCAGTTGTTTGTGGTTGTGACAGAAGGGAGGGATTTATATGGTGGACTAGATGGATATTTTGATGTATCGATGGTAAGTAAAAAAAAAAAAGAAATAGCATAGATTGTGCACATAGTATGAAAAGACTGTTGTTGATGTTGAAAGAATTGTCGCTATCCAATTATTTATTACGATGCATCACCGTTTGTAGGTTGATTATAAGGGTTCGCAAGCAGAGAGAGAAGTTACTATTAGTGAGTTGCCCCCGATACTACAGATACAATTGCAGGTCAGTTAACCCATGATATTGCTAGCAATAGTAGAATTAGTATTGAGATAAATAATGCTATATAAGGATACAAATATTGCAATGTTACTATGTTTTCTATTATTGCTTTTAATACGTGCTCTTAATCGTGAGCGTTTTGCTCGACTAGCATTAATTCTTCTCTAAATATTGCCCATCTCCATTCTTAATATAGCGGGTACAATTCGACCGATCTACAGCAAATTCCTACAAGTCGAATGCTTACATGAGATTTGATAAAATTGTGTATCTTGATCGATATTTGTATTCCAATCGCGAAATATTACAAGATCGCCGGAGATTGGCAGCTTCATGGAGACAACAGCTCGAACTGTTAACTGAAAAAGTCAAGGAACTTACCGAGCGTAAGGTATAACGATCATCCATCATATGATAACCTATTGTAAAGTATAAATTAACAACAGAAAACATTGCGTATACCGTGTTGGATAATTCCT